AAAAACCATACAACTTTGAATTTACCTTCTTTTCTATCGTAAATATTCACAATAACATGGACACTCACAATTTGTTTGAGGGGTTGTTTTCATCCCTAGGTCCGTTTTATTGCCGAAACAAAAATGGTTTCGTTATTAGCGTTAACTGAACTACACTTGTAAAAAATTACCGATTTTTTGGGGCATTTTCGACTTATCGAATTTCCCTTGTCAGTGTATCGACATTTTTCTATTATTAAATATTTTAATGTAGCTTTTTAACTTCCAATTAACTCTCCGTTGGCAACCTGGGTCACTGATGACCCAAGTCAAATTTCACTCTTGTATATCTTGTATAAATTGTATAATGTAGTAGAGACTTTGATAATTATCCCACAATTTTTCCGTATTTCTTTAAGCCTAGAACATTAAGAAAATTAGACCTACGGAGTATCAGAAAATATGTTTGCCTGTAGAGGGTTGAAATTCTTCAATAACTCATACATACTTTTCCCGTGGTAAGGAACACGTTAATTATCTAGAACCATTTCAAATTGATAGAATTATTAAATAAAATCCTCCTTCTCTCCTACTATACACAAACTGCGCCTGGAAGCCTCAAGCCTCGAATTTTATTTTGGTGATGGCGGATAGAAGGAGACGATAATTGGGATCGACGGAAGGGACGCCATTATAATGGGGTCAGGATCCTCCTATAGAGTGGCCTCCGGCAGAAAAAAGGAAATAAATGAATCCTCTATTCGCGGGGGCACGAAGCGGATTACCAACTAAGAGGCTTACATAAGAATAAACCGAAGGGCTTCGCGCTGCTCGGCCACTTTGCTATCATATTTCATATTAACCGCTGATTAAAATCGATTTTCCCGCGGTGACACGCGAGACAGATCGTTCCGCCGCGCTTCGTGTATGATTCACGATAGATCGATACTTAAAGAGGCGGAAGATAATCTATTCTTGACTCACGAGCAAAATGGCGAAACCCTGTAATCTCTATTAATACAATTTTTCTTGCAATTTCTTATCCGTACGAATTTTATATTTTAGCGTTATTCCCGGTGGAAATGGGGAAATATTTTTTTCGAGGAAGTACACAGCGTGTCCATGAAAGATTGTATCTTTTTCGAAAATTTATTCTCGGCTCTACAATGTGGCAGGAAGTTGCTTTCTGTTAGAAAACTGAAGATAATCTCTCCAAGTTTTTAAGTATATCTTACAAAGTATGAATATGTGCACTCTTCGTGAAAAAAAAATAAAAAATAAAAATTGCGTTGAACTGTGATAACAGACGTCGTTTTTGTGTATTTTACCACACAAAACACCGTTTCTTGTTTAGTCGGCGCCATTTTGCAAAAACAGTGAAACTTTAGCAGTTGAGTTGCAAACAGAATTAAATAGAAATAGGTATAGTTGGTGGAAGAAATATAGCGAGGTCGTAAATTAAAATATTATATAAATATGGATCGAATGCAGTATTTTTCGTTCTTCGATTATGACTGAATCAAAGCTAAGACACACTTCATGCGACTCTCACTGAGGTTTCGGGTCCTTATCTTGTTAAGTTTCTGTTAATTCGCTTGTCGGTATACTTGAACGTGGAAAATTTGACGCCTGACCAATTTTACGATCTCATAATATTTCTTCCATCAACTATACATTCTTTTATGGACACGTTGTATCACGGAGTTAGACCACTCCTTATGTTTGAAAAAATCGAATTTTTTTTTTGCTTAAATTGACAGTCCATACTTTTAAAAATATAATCCAAATAGTTTTAATGAAAAATTTCGATGGAACCGATATTCGACGGAGTCCAATGCAGTATATTCTCTACAAGTGTCAGTCCGCAAGGAAGCTAAACCTGACACTTGTAGAGTCAGGGACTACGTTTTTCAGCCTCGCGCCCGCCTTTGTAGTTTGCCGAACGTAGGCAAGGACAGCGGATAAAAGATAAGCATGAAACGTGAGTCGAGGCAGCTAAGCGATTTAAATATCAACTTTTTTAATTTTACGTCTTTTTATCCCGAAATTTTTATTAACATATTGATGAGATTTTTCTGATGAAAATGACATAAAACGCGACATAATTTGAACAACATTTACTTATTAACACGTTCACTGTCATGTCAGATATTGTTAAAGTATTTGAAGTGCCCGCGTGTGGAGATCCACCGAGCGTCAACTGTTTTTCCCCGAGAACACGCGTGCTGGTGCCGTTCCGGGTTTCGTCCACTCGTGTACGGGCGTAGCGTTACGCCACGTGTAAAATATATTGTGTTGTGTTTTTATATCTCTCCTTGATTTCTTTCTGTTCCACCACCTCACATAATTAACAACCAACAGATATTTCACTGTATTGAGATAAAACAGACGCCCTGTATTACATTACATAGAGTCGGCCTACCGTTTGACTGCCAGTTGGAGAATTGGCCTGCCGTTTGACTGACACTTGTAGAATCGGCCCTATATTTTTTTTTTTTTTTTACGACCAACATGTTAAAAAAAATTCCAGATGAAAAAAAGTAAAATTAAAGAAATTATATTTTTCTATTATGATTTGTCGAGCCGTGTAATCTCGTAAAGGAAACCGACTGGTGTAGCGTTACACGCTTGACTGACTGCGAGCGAGATAACATGAGCGCAGCAATGACGCAGACCTAGGCGTAGGACCATCTATGCTGTCACTTGTAGAATCCAAACTTACTGACACTTGTAGAGAATTTACTGTATTTGCATTTGACTTTGTAATAGAGCGTTTACAGCAAAACTTCATATAACACTTTTTTTTTAATTTTCACTTGTAAATTATGCCACTGCAGTTTGTCAAGAAAAGTAGGAAACACCCTATATAACAAATTATAAACAAACACATGTTAATATTACGGATGTTGGGTGACTATAGCTCTCTTTAGTAACGAAAGGGTTAAACTTGGAAGCCTCGATTAATAATTCAAGCAATTCAGGCTGTTTACAATTTCATTTTGTAACAAAAGTTTTACCATTTTACTGTATCAGGCTAATATACTATAATCCTCTATTCTTAATTCACTTGTTCGTATTCAAAATTTTAAAGAGTTCGATATTACATAAACCATTTTATTCTTTGTCTTCCGATTGAAAAGAGGAAAATGATTTTTATTCGAGTATTTATTTCTACTGCGAAAAATCACGTACAAAATTCAATTTTAAAATTCTCCAAATTATAAGCCACATAAAGCTGTATTTCAAGCTTTTCCAATATCAGTACGAATAGTTTATAAAATTTATACGTTGATTTAAGAAAAAAACTACGAATTCATTATTGAATAATCGTAAACAAAGATTAAAACGAGCTGAAGCGTGGAAGGGGTGGAGGAGGAGGCGTTCAATTACGTCGCAGCATCGCTCGAAAATCTCTATTTCCGCGTTCACCATCGGCCCATGGTGGTCGCTGGCGGCGGGATCAATAAACGCAGGTGCCGGGTATGGCAACTGCAACAACGAGCGCGATCCGAGTGCAATGGCCATCGATTAACAATTAACACACGGTTTCTCGGCTATAACACCACACCAGTCAAGCTTTTCTTAGCTTGTACATACACTTACTCTTTAGAAAAAAAAAAAATATCTCGGACAAAAGCAATATCTTCAACAAGTTCTTACTATGTTAATTGCCAGGATGTTACTGAATATTGTAGTACAATGGACAATACTATTTTTTTTCTTTTTTTTTTTTGGAAAAAGTTTTTAATCAATCTTTACAAGGGAACATTCTGAAGTGATGAAACTTTGGTGTATGGTAGTACTAAAAAAAATATTTGACTAGCATTTTTCTTTGTGTCGAAGTGGCAAAAATCGCCCTTAAAGATGAGGGTGATACATGTATTTGGTTAAAATTATTTATTATTTTTTATTTTTCAAATTTGTTGTTGAAAAATAGAAAATTCGTCCATTTACATTATTCCTTTATTTTGAATAGTTTTGGAGATGTTAGGCTAAATATATTTACTACCTCCAACTTTGAGGGCAATTTTCAATAAATATTATCAAAAAATACGTCATGAATATTTTTTTGTGAAATACTATATACCGAAATTTCATTTAAATCGGCGATTATCACTTCGGGACATTCTTAACGTGAAGCTAATTAGAAATGACTAAATAACATAATGTAGTGGAAATTACTATTTCTGGAAAGAAGTTTTTAATCAGTCTTATGTTAACATAAATTACAGGATGCTTAAAAAATATGTTAACAGGTGTATGGAGAATCTGTACATATGTATTTAAAGAAAAAAAAACCAAAAAGAATGAGTTTTACCATCAAATTGACGGTATATTATCTTTTTCTTTCTTGCAAACAAAAAAAATTCTAAGGATATGTTGAAAACGATGGTGAAGAAGTGGAGACTTTTTGAGGACAAAATACATTTGTTCTGTTTATCTGAAAAAGTTACTTCCATACAAGGGTTCACATTTTTTCTAAACACCCTGTAGGAACAATTATATTTCAGAAGTGAAATAGTGTTTCATACACGGTTGACCTCTTTAAAACGAAGTAGCAGTAAGTATGAATAAATTAATCTGCTTGTAAGCTTAAATTTATTAACCTCACTCATCTTTTAAAATACTCTTCACAAAATAACATTATTATCTACCTCAAATTTTTAACTATTTCAAATATACAAAAGTACTTCCATCTACATCAAGTACACAAAACAGTATCTCCATTTTTTACACCTCTGAAGTCTCCTTTTCCAGCTAAAAACATTTTACCAACGCTACTGACAATCTTTAAGTAATTACGAATAACATGTTCTAGTTTAAAAAATACACTAAAAACACTACCAAAGAAGAAAAAAAAAAAGAATTAAGAATCGTACACTTCTACCATTCACAATAACTTCTCAATAAATCATGCAGATAAATAGAAAAAAATATAAACAATTCCATCTTTCTGTCGTTCAATTACCATTTAAATCGTCGTTCGGTGGATTTGGCCGCGTTTTCATGCGAAACGTTACCTTTTGACGCCGATCTCCGCGTAACGGCCCCTAGCGGCCCGAGTGGCCACGCTCCTTCCGCTTCCGGGGTTCGTGTACAGCGTCAGTATGTCGCTGTTAATGTTGTTGAGAATCGGCGGCAGCATTATTACGATCCTTTTTCCCGTCGAAACTTCCCGTTGCTCCACGCACAGCAACGCATCTCACATACACAGGATGTCCTTTCTCTTTTTCTTTTCTTTTTTTATACACACACTCCTTTGATCCTTTCGAATCTCTGGGGAGAATGATACAGTCGTGGATGCGCTTTTAGGCCGTCTTCTCGACGAGGAGTGACCTTCGTGCTCAGTGGAAAGTTCTTGGTCATTTTGGAAGCTCCAAATTATACTTTTTTCTTTAGTTTTTGGAAGCTCCAAATTATACTTTTTTCTTTAGTTTTTGGAAGGGGACATTTTGCTTTTGGTCTCGAAGAAATTCAAATTGAATTGTGTTAATACTTGGAAGTATAGAAAGTGAAATTGAATTGTTTTAATGTTCAGAAGCTTGGGAATTCAAATTGAATTGTTTCTATATTTGGATGCTTGGAAATAAAAATTGAATTACTTTAACATTTGCAAGCTCAGAGATTGAAATCAATTGTTTTAATATTTGAAAGCTTAGAAATTCAAATTGAATTATTTCAATGCTTGGAAGCATAGAAAGTGAAATTGAATTGTTTCTATATTTGGATGCTTGGAAATTCAAATTGAATTATTTCAATATTTGGAAGCATAGAAAGTGAAATTTAATTGTTTCAATATTTGGAAGTTTAGAAATAAAAATTGAATTACTTTAATACTTGCAAGCTCAGATATTGAAATTGAATTATTTCAATACTTAGAAGCACAGAAAGTGAAATTCAATTGTATTAACGTTCAGAAGCTTGGGAATTCAAATTGAATTGTTTCTATATTTGGATGCTTGGAAATAAAAATTGAATTACTTTAACATTTGCAAGCTCAGAGATTGAAATCAATTGTTTTAATATTTGAAAGCTTAGAAATTCAAATTGAATTATTTCAATGCTTGGAAGCATAGAAAGTGAAATTGAATTGTTTCTATATTTGGAAGCTTGGAAATTCAAATTGAATTATTTCAATATTTGGAAGCATAGAAAGTGAAATTTAATTGTTTCAATATTTGGAAGTTTAGAAATAAAAATTGAATTACTTTAATACTTGCAAGCTCAGATATTGAAATTGAATTATTTCAATACTTAGAAACACAAAAAGTGAAATTCAATTGTATTAACGTTCAGAAGCTTAGGAATCCGAATTGAATTGTTTCAATATTTGGATGCTTGGAAATAAAAATTGAATAACATTAACATTTGCAAGCTCAGAGATTGAAATCAAAATTAAAATTGAATCGTTCGAAAGTTCCACTCGTAGAACATTGCTAATTAAATTACAAGATTACACAGAAATTTGATAACTGAATTACTTAGAAGTTCAATTTCTATCTTCAATTCTGCGTGTTTCTTTCGAGACCACTAATTTCTAAGCAACTCTCAAATTCAACAATTTTACTAATACTTTGGGTTAAAGTTTCGTCAAAAAATTGGTGGAAGTGAACCACTATGCTATTCTATGTTCTACTTTCTAAGCTACTTCTAGTGCACTTCGGCTCAACTCTATGTCTACTACTACTGCAATTAAGAGTTTCGGTGTACTAGACGAAGCTGAAATAAATAATCTCGTACGATAATAAATAGGAAAACGTGTGGTGGCTAAACGGTGATCAAGAACAGGTGACACACGATGAAAATGACGTGATTCATTGGTCGACTATAAACTACACGATTCATTGACGATGAAAGTTCAATAAAACGTGTTTCATACAAGCATCGATACACCAATCCGCGTGGCAACTTTTGGCTGCAATAAAACGGTAAATCGTTCCTCGTACTAATACAAGGCACCAGAGAATTATCGCCGCGTCATAAACGATTTAACGGCGCGATAATTTATTGGCAAGCGTTTCACCGGAATACCGTGGAAAAAATTGCCCGTGAAATATCGTGACAATTAATTGGACGAAATGAAACATCCTCGAGAAAAGTCTCCCCTATTGTATTGTAACTAGGGAAGTAACTAGGGGGGAAAATAACGGGGAAGAAAATTCGTTCGGATGGATAAAATTGTTTTTCGAGTGTTAGAACATTTTTTTTTTTTCAAACTGCCAAATAAAAGTGATGGATTTTCCGTCAAATTTTATTCATCGGGGGAAATAATAGGAATTATCGCGATAAGTAGGTTCAACATACTCGTCGTTAAATTAAAGAAGGGGAAGTGCAGTGGAAAGTTTGGCAGATGTTAGGGTCGAGTTTCTTCAAATAATCCACGTTAAGCTCCGCTGGTTAGGGTACACACAAAGGACATGTGATCGTTTTCGAAATAATTCGAATGTTCCCATTTTCGCAATTTTTTTCTATAATATTCGGTTTGGAAAATTGGTGTTTTTTAAGTCTTCTTCTAACATTTTTATATCACCGTTTATATTATAACAAGTAAATAATTCCAGTTCGAAATTTGTATATTTCTGCTCCTATGGTTGTTTAAATAGTTCATAACTATCTGAACTTTCAAGAAAATAATCGAACAAGTGTTTCGAAGAGCTAAAAAGTTGGTTAAAAATTATAACACTTCAAAAGAAAAAGAAATAAATAAATAGAACTTCACCAATTCTTTCTTCAGTATCATACACAATTTCTATTCCAGCAAAATTCTAGCCAAAAATTAAAAAAGGGACTCGTAAACGTACACTCATAAAACTTGTAAATTTCTATTTATGAGATCGTCATAAAAATAAGATACCAATTAAAGCTATCGATTGAAATAAATGCGTGGTATCATCATTACGCGAAAAGCGTTGCAAATTTAAACGATCTAACGAGACTATCGTACTGTGTGTAAAAAATAAGAAAACTTTGTCTTCTTCTATTTTTCTCATAAATCTACCACTTGCGAAAGAAACGTTGGAAATTAATAGCCTGGACATCCTGTATATTTCTACTGATACACATTAGGGTGCTGCAAACGAAATGTCGCTTTTCCAACAGCTGCAATTGGCGGGTCGATACCATATATTAAATGTTTGCACGCAGCAGTCGAGAAGAAGGAATTTGCTGCAGTACACGTGCGATGAACAGTAAAAAAAATTCACGATACAATCGTTCCAGCATTATTATCTGACGTGACGAATAATAGGAATATTCGCGTAATTTTTTTATGCAAGTTTAAACTTGGAAAAACTGTGACAAAAACTGCCAAATTTGAAGAACGTTATGTGTGTAAATATTAAGGCACTTCATCAATGTTGGTGTGCAAAATTCAAGATGGGTGACTTTTCATTGGAAAATGGAAGCAGATGGTAACGTTTTAAGAAAAATTCACCGCAAAAGCAGCATTCGAAGAATTTTTTCACTCGGAGACTAACGATTTTCATAAATTATCGAATAAAGAAAAAGTTATAGAATCATTATTTTCCCGAAGAAACACAATGTATCGAAAGTTTCGTTTGAAAAAACGAGGTTTCACATGCATCAACCTAATATGCTACTAACTTCGTCGAACAAATCTAATTCAAACCATATACAGTAAATTCTCTACAAGTGTCAGTCAGTTTGGATTCTACAAGTGTCAGTATAGATGGTCCTTGTCTGGCGTGACAGTGAACGTGTTAATAAGTGTAAATGTTGTTCAAATTATGTCGTGTTTGATGTCATTTTCATCAGAAAAACCTCATCAGTATGTTAAGAAAAATTTCGGGATAAAAAAACGTAAAATTAAAAAAGTTGATATTTAAATCGCTTGGTTGCCTCGACTCACGTTTCATCCTTATCTTTTATTCGCTGTCCTTGTCTACGTTCGGCAAACTACAAAGGCGGGCGCGAGGCTCGAAAAAGTAGTCCCTGACTCTACAAGTGTCAGGTTTAGGTTCCTTGCGGACTGACACTTGTGGAGAATTTACTGTAATACAGGTGTGTCCAGCTACACTACCTTTGGAAGCCACATTTCAGGAAGGAATATTTGAAAGAGCCATTTATTTATCTTTACTTTTGGACATTGATCAGTTTACTAATAACTTTGTAACAAGAAATGAAATAAAATAATTACTTTTGGACATTGATCGGCTTTAGTTTACCATATTTCATACAAGAGCCGCACCACTCGCCTTAGAGAGCCGCGCTATGGCCACTCCTGATATAATACTATCTGCACGAGTATAATAGGTGTTCCAAGTGTACGTATGTGAAATTCAACTTCAACGAACAATTCTCAGAAAGCCCAATTAGATAAGCATGTTTAAATTCGAAGGAGGTGTCCATCAGACCCTATCTCTTGAAAAGGAGACCTTCGTGGTCTCCAAATATAATAAGAATCTAGAACTCTATGATCAAGAAAGTTCTGAGAACGGACAGACATAAAAGGAACCCTGGACCACGCGTGTGTTATTACGATACCGAGCTGGAAAGAACCGTCGGGAAGGGAAGAAAAAAAAAAAAGGGGCAGAAGGAGAGCACACGCGATTTGAGAAACGCCTTCGATATTGGACCAACGAAAAATGGCCTGATATGATGAGAAGAGAAAGAAAAAAACCGTCGTCTATTGGGAGGTTATCGATCGATGCGTTATTCGCCGTCAGATTTCAGTCTCGCTATCAGAGGGACTTTTTTCTACATTTCTCGCAGACTTTTCTTCATTGTCGGAGGACTCGAAGAGCATACGATGCGACGCGGGATTTGCGTTCTGTAATAAATGGACAGACAACGTGAGGGTGTATGCAAGGTGTCTCAGAATGGATGATAAATATAGCCGGGCGGGAGATAATTCTGTTAGGTTGTTGTTGATGAAATGATCGAGGTGTCGATGAAACTTTCCTACGTTTGTAGTTTTAGCAAACATAATACTGTAAGGAATTTTCTATTTCTTTCGAGAGCATTCGGGAAATTTCTCGAACCGCGGAAGATATATAACCGTTTGAGTCCCAGGGGTCATTGAAAATACACTATCGAAAAATGCCGAACAGCGCAATAGCGCTTGTCTTAATTGATTGCGAAACGAGCTAAGCGGCGCGATAGCGCTTTTCTTATTTTGCGTCGACA